AGAGAAAAATGACCAAGACTAGGTTCCCGACACTCGTCCGTGATGACGTGAGACCACAGACTGCTACGGAGACCGATCAATAATAGAGGAGCAAAGCTAGGAGACCAGTCCCCGCTCATCATATTCTCCTGACGTAGTCCCCTACGACTGCTACCTGCTCCGCCTCCTTAAGGCTTTCTTAGCTAAGAAAACTTTCAGCAACTTTGATGACATCAGTCGAGAGGCCGCCGACTTACTCGACTCGCAGCCTCCCTAGTTTGGGAGAGGGGGCATGCTTACCTACCTACAGTGGGGCACTGTAGTGGCTAACAATGACGAGTATATTGCTTGACTAATTCCATTGCATGTTGAGTTAGAAAATAAAAAAGAAAAAAATCACAACAGTGACAAGACTTTCTTTCCAACCTATACTTTCTGGGGAAAAGCTTGATAATGTTCTGCAAGCATAGCATCTTACGTCATATGCAAGCATGAAGAATCGAAAGCTGTGAGCTACCCAAGAAACACTGACAGGACTTTCTTTCCAGCCGCTCTCCACACGGCGGCGCCTGAACATTTGTTCCACTTCTCTCCTTTTTCGTTGTCGCGTTTTCTGCCATCCAGGTTTTTGTTTGTCTACACACTTTGTCTGCTCGAAGTTCATTCTCAGTAACTTCACTGATTTTCGTTGGATAGGTTGGCTGTTTGACACCTCTACGCTCATTTTTAAAACTTCTTACGCAAGCTGAAACATAGTGTGCCTTCAGGGTTATGCACTTAAGCATTTGTTGCAAACTCTCCCTTGAACTTTTACCATTTGAGTTCCTGTTCTATTGCAGAGTTATAAATAAAAGAACAATATTCCAGGCGAATGTTCCCCACCGTGAAAGTCTCCATATCGAATATTGATCCAGATGGCCTTTACTACGTGTTCCTTGATGTCATACCAGTTGATAATAAACGCTGCTAACTCGTATTGACAATATTTTATAATTTAACTAGAACAAATAATTTGAACGTACATTGAACGCGTATTTCAAGATATCGCTATATCTATAACAAATCTGCATGGTTGACAGCTGGAAAGGCAGAACCAGCGCCGAAGAACCGTCTATACCTGCATCCAGACTCACCGTATACTGGTGAGCAGGTGAGCACCACATGTATCGCTGCACCTGTTCTTTCTCACAATGAGTATTTTTGATATCTAAGAAATTTCGAGAACTTGTTTCAGCTGCTGAAGCAGGTGGTCTCCTTCGAGAAAGCGAAGCTCACGAACAACGAGATCGATAAGGCAGGCCATGTATGTTTGTGAAAGTTGTAAAAAAAGAAAATAGCATAACCTCAACCATCTTAATGATCATACTTGTTTTTGCTATTTTAACAGTTTCCGGACCGCGTGACACACATGGTGTGTCATGATTTTGTCTCTGTGCGGTGCTTTATTTTATGAATTTGGCTTTTCATTCATGTTCTGAAGTTGTCAAAACATGTTCACAATCACGGACGGTATTTATAGCATTGAAAAAATAGAGGAAATTACTGAATTACTGATGAAGTACCGATGAAAAATGGTGAAATAATTCGGTGATGCGCAGTACGGCGGTCCGCAATGTGTTAGGCAGCGTTCATACTTCGCCACAGCAGCGGCGATCGCAGGCGATTGTAGCTATCGCCGCGATCATCGGTACGTGACATAGCGCGCCCCAACTCCAGTTGCCCGACCTCGGAAGGAATAAATTGAAGTGGGCAAGAGCAGATCTCAGTTCCCTGAACCTTGGCAACCATGCGGTGTGTCAAGGAAGTGGTAACCTTTGCCACCCTCGGTGTCCCACGATATGCTACTGTATGAGGCGCTTATCAAAAGAGGAAGATTCAGTCTCAATCTGATTATTGACTGACACATACAGTTTCAAGTTGATCCGACCACTTAATACTGTACAGGCTCGTTCCTTCCCCTCCGGTCTACCTCCTCCCCCCTCCCGTGTTTTTTTTCTTTCTGTGCATTTCCTATACTCCTCCTCACATTCCCACTTTGAGTGCTGCCTTAGAACCTTGGAGGGTGCCTGCAAGTTTTTGAATGGTCCCGTTCTTCCAGTGTAATCAAATGTTTATAGTATTTATGTTTATCTATTGGGTCGGACCTGGCACTTGATCAGGCGGCCAGGGCCGCGCACGCGAGCGCGCTGCCGGCGCGATCACACACGCGCGCTCCAGCCTGTTTCTAGCTCTATTGTAGCGCATCTTGCTCCTTAATTACACTGTTTGAGATCGCTTATTCTCAAGCTATTTGTTCCTTCCTCACAAATATAACAATGTACTGGAGTTCTCTGATATTTTGCGTACACTGCAGATAGTCAAGCGACCAATTGAACAAAATCTCTGAAAAAATCGTCAAAACACCTCTAATTGGCAGAAACGAAAAAACTCCAGACCCATAAATCAACCATACTTCATAAAAACCGTGTTGTTCAATAAACAGCTAACCTGAAAAAATAGAAAATACAGTGAAATTAGGGAGAAAATGGCCAAATTAGGCCGGAAACAGCTGATCGCCGCGGTCGTGACGCGCCGCAGCCGCGTCGCGACCCTTGGTCGCCTAATCAAGTGCCCGGATGACGACTGTATACCTTCCGCTACTGTCCATTTCATGAGTGGATTGAAAGGCTTATTGACACCCTGGAAACGTGTCCTCCTCACACAATTCGCGTACTTTCATCGAAAACATCAGAATCTCTTTTCTAGTGAGCGATGCTCGATACTCCCTACTGTTGTACATGTTTAAGCCCTATTTTTCAGCTAATTCTCAATTCTATGCACAAATATCAACCACGAATTCATATCGTCAGGCGAAATAAAGGCCAACACCTCGATCACAATAAGGTTAGTGACTGATCATTCCAATCTATAACCGAGGTTTATGGTCAATGATGCGCAACGGGTTGATGTTCCAGATGAATCTCGCTGAAGAAGTTCATCGAACGTTCGTTTTCACCGAAACACAGTTCATGGCCGTGACAGCATATCAGAATCAATTAGTCAGTCCGCATTCCAATTATTGGTGTTTTTACGAGGGGAAATACATTGAAAAGGTGTGATAAAATCGTCACCTCCGAGATGCGCCACGCGTATGACTTCCTTTTGAGGATCCCAAAGTCAAAGAGTTTGAACTACGAGGGATCTCAGTGGTGAAAAGAGCGAACAGGTCGATTGACGTGCAGCGTTCAAAGTAGAGCATCGCTGGGAGAACTCCACCGGAGAATACTTGGTCGCTGAAGAGGGGTCGTATTAGCCTTTGAGGAAGTTTTACCGAGCTGTTGACTTTTTTTGGTTTCCATTTTCTGTTCGCTGTATGCATTCTATACCTTCTCTCAGCTCGCTCAACAGCGGTTTTTTTTCGTGGGATGAACGAAGGAATTTTTGGAACAGTGGTAGGCATTGGGAAAAATGAGAAAGGTGGTAGGTAGGATTTGGATGTTGTAGGTGGGGTGAGTGACAGGGAAGGAGGTCGTAGCAGAGAAGGAAATTCTGAGGGGGCATGGGATTTCTGTCATTTCTCCCCCAACCGCAGGATCACCCAGGCTCGACGGCAGTAATTTTGGGGAAAAACTAGAAAAATTTTTAGAAAGCGCTAAAAACTTGGGAAAACTCAGAAAAATAGTGGGATACGGAAGTGGTCGTACCAAATGAGGAAATCTAGTGGTAGAGGAAAGGGTGGGTGGTAATATCTAGAGTTCAGGCTTCATGATGCTCCCTGTTCCTTTTCCAGTTTTATGGGTCTGTGGTATGGTAATTTGATGTTAATCAACTTACTGTGGCATCTCAGCCAGGGCACATCATTGGTTGGGGATTTCGGTCGAGTCCGTACGACCCTCCCCCTTTTTTTGAGAGTTGGTACGACCCCCCTCCGGCCCTCTGTCCCTCCTCATCGAGCTGTCGAGCGGGGAGGGACTGAGGGCCGTAGGGGGGGGGGGTACATAGTACACATTAAACTGGAAAATCACGAAATCTCTCTCCAGAACGACCCCTCCCTCCCAACAAAAGCAAGTACGACCCCCTCCCCTTTTTACAACGTCCGTGAAGCGAGAAAAATCAACTATCAAAATAAATTTTTCTCAGCCCAAATACGACCCCCTCTCCTGGCGACCAAATACGACCCCCTGTTGGGGATTCCCCAACAACGATGTGCCCTGACCTCAGCATTAAGTGTCTTTCAGTGAAAATTACGTATCGTAAAAAATCAACTGCAGCTGAAAATATGTGTTCAGATTACGAAACTGAAGATAGAGAAGAATCCATTTGCGAAGGGATTTCGAGATCCGAGTGGAAGGTCACCAGAGTACGAACCGTAAGTGCGGTTCTCCTTTCGATTACTGAAGTATGTCAGGACTTTGCTTCTGCATCGTAACATGGAATTTTCAGTGATTCACGACCCGATCTACCTCTGATTATGCCCATGTACAATCCAGTCATCTTTCAACAAGCTCTACTTGGTCAATGTGAGTTGTTCACAATCCACTGCTATCCATGCCATAAGTTGAAAGAGTGGCCTGTATGAAGCCAGGAAAAAGAGTCCCCGAATCAATTGCCTGTTCTATCGCGGGCGTTATGGCTGTTCATATGCTCCGCTACATGTGGATCGACGTGCTGAGAATTTTCGGTCCTGAAATTTTTGGAGAGTTTCCACCAGCGTTGGACACTGGAAATTGTGACCATTATGAAGAAATCGGTCCATGAACTGTTTCTCAGGAGAATGCCACAAATTATCTTTTGGAAACTAGCACAGCACCAAATGTTAACCAACCGCCACCGACAGTCATTATCGCTTCAGACGATAGGGCACGTGAGGATCATGGATCGAGAGCACTGAGCTAAAAGTTCTGTGACATTCAACGTCAGAACTAACTGTTCTAGAAAAATTTAGACACTCTCTTGAAGCTCTGACTGCAAAGTGGCCGTGATTGGCTTTTCTTATTAGCAGCTTCCAGTTGCTGTCGCGATCTCAGCTTACCAGCGTTCAAGGCCAACCGTGTACAGAGAGGATTCTCTAGAGCTGTTTGACTGAGAGCGGGTATTTCTCTCTTCTGCTGATATCATTTCAGTTCCTATCAAAGTACACGTCTCACCTTGATGAAACCTGTACACTATCACATGTCTCCGCCGAGGCATTGGCAGTGATCGATGGGGGCCAATCATAATGCTCCCACCAAGCCAAACTGCACCGAGTCCTTTAAAGACACATGGTACGCTCAAACACATTGAGGGTGTATGAGACTATCAGCCCCCAGCTGTCGATGTGTCGTGGTCCCCCCGCCCAAAACTGCACGGGGTCAGAGTACGGGGCGTGGGAAAGTCGTAATTCCTTGCTACGCCGCCCGTTTCGCAAACTCTTTACTAACACCGTCCGCGCGGCGCGGTCGCGTGCAGCTCTCTTGGCTTTTTGCCAAGTCCTGTAATTGCGCTTTGGAATACAAGTACAACGCAATTTCTTTATGCGGATAACATTTTAGGTTCTGCAAAATAAGAACTGAAGATGATGACGAGGGCTAGAACTCAAGAGCAACTGTGGTGCTTCTGCAATATCCCTCAGAGGCCGCGCATTCCCACAGAACATGACAATAAAACATGACAATACAAGCAAAACGCAATTTCCTTGCTCATGCTTCAAAGTCCGAATAGAAGGTGATGAAGATGACAAAGGCTAGAAATGAACAACAACGAATGTAGATGTAAATAAAACAAAATTGAAAAAACTAAGGAAACGCAATAAATTAAAATCGCGTGTGCATTTCTGCGATCCGGCTCGAATCCGGCTCTAAAGCTATAGAAATACTTTAAACTAACGAGTGGGACGCTTAGGCCGTTTTTATTTTGATGTTTTGTGGGAATGCGCGGCCTGCGAGGGCTGTTGCAGAAGCAGCACAGTTGCTCTTGAGTTCTAGCCCTCGTCATCATCTTCAGTTCTTATTTTGCAGAACCTAAAATGTTATCCGCATAAAGAAATTGCGTTGTACTTGTATTCCAAAGCGCAATTACAGGACTTGGCAAAAAGCCAAGAGAGCTGCACGCGACCGCGCCGCGCGAACGGTGTTAGTAAAAACGTGAGTTTGCAAAAACGGGCGGCGTAGCAAGGAATTACGACTTTCCCACGGTCCCGTACTCTGACCCCGTGCAGTTTTGGGCGGGGGACCACGACACATCGACAGCTGGGGGCTGATAGTCTCATACACCCTCAATGTGTTTGAGCGTACCATGTGTCTTTAAGTAATGCGCACTTCCTCTATGGGGCCATTCGGCACCCTTTTTCGTAACTCAGTTTTCGTAATGGTTGTCGCTGCTCATAAAGTGATCGCGCTCAAATTTAGTGTTTGTGAACAATTGACAAGAACAGCGATACCATCAGGACACTTATACACAGCGCTTCTTTCTCACTGTTAGGTCCTGACCGGTAGACAGCTCTTACAGTGAGTTGGTTCATAAAAAAACGACTAATTGACTGATAAGGATCTCAAGATTAATAGGTTACATTATTTTTACTGAAATTGACGGTAATGCATTTGAGTAACGTGAACTTTGGTCGATCAAATCGGCTTTGTCCTTCTTGTCATGGGGTTACACTAGAAGACAATTCGAAATTTCTTTCTTTTCCAGATTACCTCAAAGCAGCGGCCGCCAGAGTAATGCCGTCGTTGAATCCGTCAATGCTGTCACACGTGTTGTTCTCACAAATGCCGGCCTTGCCGAACTCATCCGATCGGCCGCTGAACGCCATCAACCCATCACCGGCCAAATCGGAGAGTCTGCCTATCTAGATATCATCGTTTATCACTTTCTGTGAATATCTTAATCATTCTATCAGTATCATCCATAATCACAGTGACATTCCAAATATTATCTCGGTGCTAACGTGGTGGGCTTACTGCCAACGGCAATCTGTACCCAGCTGTGAGTTCTTCTCATCACAGATTTCCAACCACTTAACGACTGCTGTACACATCGCAAACCGGTCCTTCGTTATGTCTTGTCGCTTCGGTGCAATGCAATGCGTAAAGTCTACAGTAACCATGTCCCTATTTTTTACTTCTTCTCCAGCTATAGATATTGCCTTGACTAGGCCGACTCGAAAACTGTCATAACTTCCCTGTTATTGTTTCGTTCTCTCATAAACTTTATAGCTTTGTGAGTATTAAAAAGACGTTCCCACTTTGGTATGTATATACTCATTGACGATGTGAGTGCGATACTAAATGTTTATCTCTTCTACCTGGACTCGTGGTGCAAAATAAGAAAGAACATCTCTAAAGCTCGGTATAAAGGCATGGTTAGCAGGGCACATCGTTGTTGGGGAATCCCAACAAAGGGGGGGGTTGTATCTGGTCGCCGGGAGAAGGGGGGTCGGTTTTGGGCTGAAAAAATTTATTCCGATAGTTGATTCGATTTCGATTTCTCGCTTCACGGACGTTGTGAAAGGGGGGGGGGTCGTATTTACTTTCTGTTTACTTTCTGGCCTTTTGGGAGAGGTGGTTGGCTTTTTGTGATTTTCCTGTTTCATGTATGGCATATATCCTCCCCCAGGGCACATCGTTGTTGGGGAATCCCCAATAGGGGGGGGTCGTATTTGGCCGCCAGGAGAGGGGGGGTCGTATTTGGGCTGGGAAAAATTTATTTTGATAGTTGATTTTTCTCGCTTCACGGACGTTGTAAAGGGGGGGGGTCGTACTTGGTCATTGTTGGGAGGGGGGGTCGTATTTACGTTTTGGCGTTGTAGGAGCGGTGGTTGACTTTTTGTGATTTTCCTGTTTCATGCGTACTATATATTGCTATTGCTATTTACCCCCCCGGCTCGATTCGACGACAAGGGACAGAGGGGCGGAAGGAGGAGGGTCGTACCACGCCCACTCCCCCCGCCCCCAAAAGAGAGATGGCGGGGGTCGTACTCGACTAAAATGCCCACCAATGATGTGCCTGCCCCCGCCCTCTTTCCTTGGGGGGGGAAGGTACAACCCCCCTCCCTTCGCGCTCTGTCCGCTCTCAACGAATCTGATGCGTAGACGTGGGGAGGGGGGGGGGGAAAATAACGCAATAGCAAATGTACACTACCATGGAACAGGCCAAATCGCTACAAAAAGTCAACACCGCTCTCTACACGGCCAAAGACATAAATATGATCCTTCCCCTCCCATGGCCAAGATGCGACCTGCCCTCCACCCCTTTACAACGTCGCGTGAAGCGAGAAAGGTTAACAATCAAATTGAATTGTTTCCCAGCTAGAAATACGACCCTCTCGCCCCCTATTGGGGATTCGGGCCAAAGCGGGCAGCAGCATTCGATGGGGATTTTGGTCGAGCTCGTACGACCCCCCCCCCTTTTTGGGGGGTTCGGTACGACCCCCCCCTTTTTTTGTTTTGGTTTTTTTCCACACAAAAACAACTGACAAGTACCCAGAGCTAGCCGTTCATAACTTTTTCCTAGTTTTAGTGAGCGTTCAGGAATAGCTTCGAGTTGTTATTTATTGTTCCCTACGTGAATCTGAAAAAAATCGAGAGGAAATAAACACAACTCAAAGCTATTTTGAACGCTCACTAAAACTAGGAAAACTTATGAGCGCAAAGGAAGGGAAAAGGAGAAAAAAAACAAACAGGAACAATAAACATGAACGATAAATAAATGGTAATGGTACGATAATAATAAAATAATCGATAAATTTGTTAAAACAAATGGAAATCCAGTTGTTGTGCGCAGGACCCCAGTGCACTTGATTTGAGGGGCAGAATTTCCGCAGAAATTACGTTAGCGGTAGCAGAAGTGCGTGTGTAATTGCAGCTTTGACTGGAGCAAACGGCTATTAGCCATGGAGCGAGAATTTTCAGCAAAGTAGGGTGTCTTTGAAGGACCATAACTTCCTCAAAAGCGGACCTGTGGGGAAGAGGAGAGCGTATTGGTAAATTAGAAGGTTTGATCTTCCTGAAAGTACTAAAATGTTCATGAAGGTCGCGAAAATCACAGAGACAATCTGCCATAGGGATTCGTTGGGGAGTGAAGGGTTGAAGTTCGAGTTGAACAGGTTTGAATCAATATATTTTTTTTGTAACTCAACATTTCACAAATCTGAGAACGGATCCGAGCTTCTCAGATTTATTGTCTTCTAAAACCTATTGAACTGTTCCTGAAGCTCTCGGGGTTCATGAGATCTCGCGATGGGGATTTCTTAGGGAGCACTCCCAGCCGCGCGAAAAACCCGTTTCCTGTGCACCGTTTCAAGTGAGCGTGTTCGAATAGCCAGAAGCGCATGTAAAACGTATCCTTGAGTGAGGCAGGAGGCAGGATATGGTTTCGTATTAGCGACCGTATCAACGCTGACTTTGTATGGCGCCGCGCGCACTGAGGTCCGCGCAGAGGTGATGGGATGGTGCAACTTGTGCGTAATGTCTGTTCACGCGAGCAAATGTGTCTATAGTATTCAGGGAGGTCTATGACGAACCTGTGCACATGTTTACAGTGTTTTCCCTTGTGGATGATGGAGCGTGTCTGTGTCGACGCCGCCCGATCTGTGCTCCTCCAATTGCTGTCTCCGATAAAGGAGACCAACTGCTGGAAAACGTCTGATACGAACGCATATCGGTAAGTCGCGTCGGCTTGTCCGAAAAAAATAAGGTCTGGATCACAGCCCCACGCTCTGCAAATCGCGGACACGCCCCATTCATCTGCAGCAAATCAGGGTATGCGTTTACTGTTTAGTCATCAACGGACTTACGAGATGATGTCGACTCATTTAAATTCCAGTTATTTCGTATTTTTATAGCTGAAAGTTTTGTCCTTTTTTTCAAATATCCGAGTTCTCTACAAAGTAAGCTTCGCTGTACCGGACTCAGCACATTGACACCTTTGCGCTGCTCGATATCTCTGGCTACGCACTCATTACGACCCCCCCC